TAGGTTGTGATAATAGATATGAAACACTTACTATCCGCGAATTATATCACGTACGAAGCCGTAACCAATTACAAAATGCTGAAAATCACATGACGCTACAGTAACATTACCGATCGCTAAACACGTGACGCCACAGTAACGTCACAGGTCGTTATAATGTTAATATCATCTTATGATAAATAAATTTATCAACGTCTGTCACAACGTTCGCTGAATGAATTGGTAACTTCATAAAGAACAGAGTTGATCAGGTTGTCTTCCAATTGGTTACTTGTACTACTTGCATTTTACAATGACGTGGAAAACGAACGAAGAAAGAAGGAAGAACACCGTGAATTTTTCTGCAACAATGTACAGAATACGTGTGACGTGCAACACGTAAAATAATTTTTTATCCAGGTGGCATGTATATCCACAATGTATTCACCAATATAAAATATCAGATGTAGTTTAAGTAAACTACAAAACGATCACAAAAATACTCTCGAATCAAACGTCCATGCACCTGCCTTTAAACCGTACCGTGTGTACCGTACGTATAACACACAATTGACTTTTAACTCGCTCGAAACAAGAAGAACAGCTCCAAAAAACAAAACGTAAATGCGAAGCTGAATGAACGGGCGGCGGGAGGGGGAGAACAGAATCCGCTAAAACGAAACGATATCCCGGGTGGAAGAAACGCGAAGGTGAAGAAGCGAAGGCAAAGAAAAGCCGCGGATGATACCGTTTCCGCTGTTGTTGTTTTTGTTACAGAGCGGGGAGAGAAAGAGGAGTACGTCACGGCGGCTCGGACTAGCGAAAGCTGCGCAAAAAAAACCGCAACGGTAAAACCCGGAACGGTCTGTGAAAAAAGAAAGGAAAAAAATAAAAAAAGAAAGAAAAAGAAAAAATCGGGGGGGGAGGGGGGAGGGAAAAAAAAATATAGCGAACCGACGCCCCACCACTTTTCCCTTCCTCGCGCTTCGAGGTACGGTCGGTCGATCGGGGGTGGGGTGGAAATGAAATCGACAGGGCGTCCACCTATCGGTCCGATGGCACGTATACAACACACGATCGCATACAGGGAACGACTGGCACACACACGTCGATGCCGGCCCGATGCTTTGTCCACGTGTGTCGCGATACGATGGCACGGTGGCGACCACACGGCCATGCGACTGCACGCACGCTCGCCGTGTGCATGTATGGGCGCGCGTGTTGACTGAACGTGTGTACGCCGACATAACTAAACAAGCAACAAGTGACCTTAAAATCTGCGAATAAAAATACTGGCTACTGATCGGGTATCGTGCGCAGCTGCGAGCCTGCCAGTGGCGAAGGGGTTGCAGGGTGTGTTTTTGCCGTGCCAAGGAACCACCGGCAACCCGTTGCCGCGTGTAAACACCGGGATCGTAGTTTAACAAAAAAGACAAAAAAAAAAAAAAGAAAAGAAAAAAAAGAAAGAAAAAAGAAAAAAAAGACGGAAACGAAAAAAGAACGACAGAAGAAAAAAGAAACCGTCGCTGGCAATGTCAGTTGCGCTTTCCTTTTTTCCCCTCCCCCCCTCCTCTTGCCCAGGCACGCTCTTGTTTCTGTCAATAGGAGAAAAGTTTTACCAATCGGTTACGCGCGCGTAACTTGAACCGATCGCGCCCCTTCGTCGTTGATCGATCTATACACGACGATCGCGTAAACATATGTACGTACGTGTTTTTTTTTTCTTTTTCTTTCTTGTTTTTTAGGCTCTTTTTCCTTCGCTTCTTTGAGACGTGAAATTGGTACGCGCATTGCCGAGAGTTAATCGCCGGAGTTATTCACGGCGGTAATTGGTGTACGCGTGTATGCCGAGTTGGCCGAGTTGAAACGTAGGCACCAGCCGGGTACCTTCGGTAAAGAGCCAGCAGAGTGGTTTGCATAATGGGAAGCAAAAATCGAGCGGCCAACTGTGTGGGTGGATATTCTGGCGAAACTGCGTATAATTCGCCGAGCACTCGATAATAATATCGTTCATTTACGAGTGACGATAATAGAACGAGGAAAGTGCTTGATCGGAGGTATTCGTTCGTACAAATGTTCATTTCTTTTTTTCTCAAATGGAAGGTTTGAGAAAGGAACCGCTGCGAATTATTTCGTTGCTCGATCGATCGGCGGCTATTCCTTTCTGCGGAAACAGCTGCTTTTTTTTTCACCCCCGAAAAGGGAAACAGGGATTCGATCCGTGGGCCGAGATATGAAATTAAAGAGCAACAAGTGACCTCAAAATGAACGAACATAAAAATGCGAACGGCCGATCGAGAGTTTTATGCGGCTCAATCGAACTCAAAGCGGCGGGCGAGATCATTCGGAAAAGGGGGATAGAGTAAACCGAGAGAGAGAGAAAGGTAAAAAGGGGTGAGAGCTCGACACGGCCGAGGGTAGTTCAGATAGATAAATACTTAGAAGTCACGCTGCTTTATTGACCATTTCTGACGTCATCGGCGACTACAAAGAAACCGAACCCCTCTCGTCGTGCGTATCTTGGGGGATGAAACGAGGGGGCATCGGAGTTTTCATCAGAATTAAAAGCACAAACATCCAGATCGCGAAACTGCTTGCGCAGAGTTGAACGAACCTTTCTTCCTCGCTTCTTTAAAGAAACCAATTGAAACAAATCTGAAATTTCACTTTCATCTTGGATCGTTTAAAAATTGTATTTCATTAGTTATTAATTGCTAGGTAACTCAGAGTCGTTAAATAATCGAATGTCTAGTAATGACAGACGTGAAACGTGCAAGTAAACGTTTGCAAGTATGAAAGAAGAACATTTCGATAGCGCGTGCAAAAAAGGCCGAACAGATTAAAAGGGGAAATCGCAGCGATAGAAACGGTCACAAAGAGCGGAGAGGTCTTTGATTCAAGCCGTTTCCACGTTAGTTCCGACATCAACCGTCTAAGCAAGAGCTCGCCACTGTCCAGCGACCCTTTCACCAACACGAGCGAACGCTCAACCCCTTAGCGCACACGGACGTTCCTCCACAGACGGGGGTGATTTTTCTTTGGAACACCTACACAGAGCCAGCTCCGTCTCACCGTCAGGAACACGGACTCGATACGACCGTGCATCAGTGGGGTTGCGCGTATCCTCGTTTCGCCCCGAAAGGGATTGCTACCCTCTCTTTTCTCGAGGATCGCGCATGACCGAAATTATTCGCGCTCTTCCTTGCGCTACCTTCGTCCAAGCAACGTCAAATGAACCGCTCTTTCCAGAGGATGTGAAACTACTCGATTGTTATCGTTAACGTCGTTCACCAAGGCTCGTATCAGTATAAAAAGGGGAGTAAAAAATGTACCGTGTAGATTCTCGATTGATTAAATACGTTTCGTAGCTTCATACGTCACGTTGCAATCGTAACTTACGTTACGAGAAATTAATTTAGAATGACATTACTCCAATTTTGAACATGATTCCACAATTTCGTAGTCAATCCTACTTTTCTTTCAAAAACGAAAGTTACTTTAGGTAGTATTACTGTAGAACAAACGATTCTTGCTGTGCCTACTATCTTGGAAAACTATAAGTTATTAAAATGACGTAGAATGACAGTACCATTTAAACACGATCCATAATCGATTTTTCTTTTTTTTTCTTTTTCTTTTTTTTTTTTTTTTTTTTTTTTCTTTTTTTTTTTTTTTTTTTTTTTTTTTTTTTTTTTTTTTTGCTGTAAAATAAAAATAATCTACGCTGTATAAATCATCTTAACCTGCCTAATTTCCTCTGCATTCGTTCGAAGCTCGCACGCGTCCAGCCTATCCGATATCAGCGTATAGCATCGCCCCGAAAGCCCCCGTTACACCTCGACGTAGACGTGCACATGTACACGAAGGGGCAGCGTGATAAAGTAGAAAAGCTCTCTGTTCCTGTCCGTCCGGATGCAACGCGTCTGTCCGTCCTTCTCGTCGGTTCACCGTCGCGAAGCATACGAGCGCGTGGTCAGCTTGCGAAAAAGCTCTCCGTCGTTCCAACAGTGTCTATTCTATCATCCTCTTCGTCTTCGTGCACACCAGCCGCGCGGTAATTCCTCTCTTTCCGACTGGGGATCGTTGTGCAAGCTTCGTCTCCGTCTTGCCAAAGGCTGGCCAGTCGAGTACGTCTCGGACGAGTTCGGGGATGTTCGTGTCGTTCGCAGTCGTCCTCGTCGCGCCCTCGTGCACATCACGGCGCGTCATCTTCCTCTCGCAATTTATCCCCTTCTCCCAGCCATAACCTGTTCACCCACCACCGACGATTCCGTCGCAAGCTTTCACGATCGAGATCCTCCTCGTCGCACAAACGAATCCCTCGTTGATATCGTCTTCCTCTGAATTCGTTCAGGGCCGGCTGCTGGACCACGGTAACCCCATGTGACGAGCTTTCTAGAAACTACCCTCTTCTTTCCTCGCCCCTGTTCATCTACCACCACCTGGAAAAATTCTTGTCACTAAGAAAGCTACGGCGAACAGACTGAAAAATTACAGTCGCCAATTCGCTACCCCTGATTCTTCGTCCACGTCGAGGGCATCGCGTCGAATAAAAGTTAGATCGCGTGTAGAAAAAAAAAAAAAAAAATGAGAAAAAAAGAGGTGGACAACGACCGAGCGGCAGATGAAACGTTCGCGTGAAACGTCTCGCATAAATCTTGAATTTTGCCGGGGCGAGTGAGAGCGGGTGCCGCTAGGCTGGTGCCAAGGGGCGGTCATGTCCTCGTCGTCGTTCGGCCTCGTTCTTTCTTTCTCGCTTGGCAAATGCCCCCGTATAAGTGAGTCTTTGTCGCGCGTCCGGCGTTCGTTCTCTCTGTTCCGCGAATCGGTTGGACACGATCGCTCCAGCAGCCCGCTAGGAGAAGCAGGCGGCGAGCTTTCGCGTCCGAACGACAGGGGAGCCACCGTCCGGGGCAGCGGCCAAGAGGGGCCACCGGCTTGCCTCTGCCTGCTGGCCGGCGCGCGTGTTTCTCTCCCTTCGGCTTACAGCATCCGCCGGAGCTTCTCCTCTCTCCGCCTACGCGGTGTGCGAGTGTGCCGTGTGCGCCAGTGCGCCCGCAAGCCCGCAAGTTCGCGCTCCGCCACGCAGCCCAAGCTCTCTCTAGCCGCGCGCTGATCGGCCACGTTCGTCAGCCGGGCCCCACGCAAAAAGGCAGCGGGGCCGCGCGCCAGCCGACTGGACACACTAGACGGACGAATTTCTTACTTGTAATTCGTATAGACAACAACACGCGTACGAGGACGTATCGGGGCCGGCTTGTGTGCGAGCAAAACGCGTCTCCAAGACAATTCTTCTCGAAGGAAACCGATCGTTCTTATATGTACTATATATACATACACATAGATATATATATATACACACGCACACGCACACACACGCACACACACACGCACACACATATGTAAGTAACGTTGTCGGTCGCCGCTCAAGGAAATCAGTTCGACGACGTGGTGTGACACGTAAAACACGAGTGAAACTCGCTCGAAACACGCGCGCTCCGACCTGAATCTGAGAACCGCACGACACCACTTGGAAGAAAACCGGGCAGTGACTGTGAACAAACGAACAGGATAATCACGGACCCCTTATCCAGTGCGCTGTTTTCGTGTTGTGAGACACACCGTTTTACGCACGTCCTCGAACGAGTCTTCTTGGGATCGCCGCGATTGTAAAGGTGAGTCCATCCCCTCAACGATCATCAGGATTTTCTTTTTCTTTCCTTCTCGATAGTTTCTTTTGTCATTTTTTGTTCGTTTCCTTTTCTTTTTTCCTTTCGTGCTTCGCAGTTACTCGATCTTCCTCTCATAGGAACGATGGGGTAGATTGTTTAGTGACGTGGCAGTAATTCGGGATACACCGGTGTACGACGAAGATCTTTTTCGATGTACGTACATACGTTGTTAGATTGTCCAAGGAGGTGATGTTCTTTAGCGTGGGAGGTTGATTTTTCGAGTGATTGATAAGCTGCTGTGTCGTGACGAAACGTCATCGTCGTCGCGAACTGTCAAACCGATTCCAATTTCCAGCGATCCTTCACACTTTCTCGTATCACTTTTCAATAATCGTCAAGTTCTTCTTCTTTTTTCGTTTCGTATCTGCTTACTTCAATGGAGTTTCGCAACGAAACTGAAAGAAACGGTGTAGTGTCAACGCAACGCGCCTCTCCTGAATTTTTATATTTTCACCCCTGAATTCCTCAAAATCGTCAAATAATCACTCCGCTATAGTGTTTTCCGTCCCCTCGGTGAGAATTGTAAAATTCCTTCGGTTTCGAATCACACCCTCAAATTATTGATTTCATAGTTCGATCTTTTTTTCTTTTTCTTCTATAAAATCTTACAGGAAATAGTGTGCTTTTGATGGTGAAGGACAGATTTTTCCGTCATGGTTAGGCAACTCTCTCTAGAGCGGCTTGTCTGTCGTATACGGATACGTTCCCCTTGTCGTAGGCACTTCTCAAGCAAAGACGCGTCTCCGATTGTGTAGTGACACTCGTGGTGATAGTGTATCAGTGGTGGTGGTGCTAATTGTGGGCTAAACGGCACGATTAAACGGCACGATCGCGAGGAACGGGAATAAATTTCGAGGACTAACTGAAACTGTGGGATGAATCGCCTACTGGTTAATCGCCTACTGGTTACCGAGACACTGGAAGTGACGTTCGGTTCTCTGTATATTCGATTAAAAACACACGTCGCCGGAGGATCGTCTCGAGAGAAAAATTCCACGTTAAAAAAAAAAGAAAGAAAAAAAGTCGAAGTTCGTTAATAAAGTGACAATTACACGTATTAATTTCGTGATTATTAAATCGAAAGGCAATCGGCGAGGTGTGAGTACGATGAAAATCAAAATCACGTGTGCGCTTAATTAAAATATCGCAAATATGAATGTTTCAATTCGCGATACATTAATATTTCAATCGGCGTGTATACTAATAAACATACAACGTCGGTCGTTGAAAAACTGTGCGGCTGTTCTTGAAATGAAAAAAAAATAGAAGAATATTTTAATAGAGAGGGAATTTCTATTCCACTTGCGATAAGTCCAGTGAAACATCCAGTCGTTTTTCAATGAGATGGAATTAAAATTGCATCGAAAGAATCTTCGATCAAAACGTGTAATTGTTACTGTAATTTATATCATATCAAAATACTTTTTACTTTCATATATATATATGTATATATATATATAGAATAATGTTAATTTATTGAGGACAAGATAAGATAATAACGAAAGTGTAAAAAGCAATTACTCGTGGAACGTGCGTCTAATGAGAAATGTACTATTCGTCCGCCTCGAAGTAGATATGGTCGGTTCTTGTCAGACATAAGACGACACGGGCGAAGTAAGTACTCTTCCGTCGGCAGCTGGAGAGAACGGGACGTATTTAGATAAGAAAACATCGAGGGACAGTGAAAACTAAATATTCTAAATTTTTAAACGTGACATTTCAAATGTTAAATTAAAAGTAATATTGACGTTACACGAAATTAAAAGACAAAACGCATACGTATCGAATCATTAAAATAATACACCGCAAACTAACAAAAATATTTCTAAATCTCTCGTTAATACGAACGTATACCTGTTTAACAGTAATCAATCGCGTCATAATAATCGTTGCTGCATTAAAGAGATAAAAACCCCGCGATTTAAAACCGACGAATACAACCAAACCGTTCGAAATTTCATAAACGATCGACGCGACAGTAGAAATTAACGAAATCAACGTCCGTGAGCGTTTCACGATTTTAACCATGAAATCAGCGTCGAAATAATCTGCCAGGAAACGTCGAATCAGGCTGCGTTCGGAGGGCGAAACGAGGCGCACAAAATGGTCTTCGCCGGTAATCACGAGAGCTCCATTGAGCACGAAAAATTAGACACTTCCACGACGGTATAAAGGACCCCTGATCGTGGCAGCGTCCCCGTGGAACTGAGGGTTCACGAAAATGAGTATCCATCGCTTCGATCGTGAATCCGGTGGAACCAGTTTCGCCGGTCCGAGGCAAAGGGTTAGCCGGAGAGAAAAAGAAAGAAAGAGAAAGAAAATGCACGGACAGGCAGTCATGCAGAAAGGGTTAACCGGTGGAACGCGCGGTGGAAGCGTTTTGTTGTCGAGATACCGCGTGGCAGTTAGCAACTCGATCGATGACCGCGTATAAACAGCTAATAATCAAACGAATCGTGTCATAAACAATCGTACGGTGGGGTGGTCGAGTGGTGGTAAAAGTATAAATGAGTTTCGACGGCGCGGAGTGGGGTGCAGCAGCGGCGTGATACCGGGTGGGGATGATCAATTTGAAAAGCGTAGGAAAGCCCGACCCGTTGAAAAATTTCGTTTCGATGTCGAGCTTTCCATCTGGTATGTTTCCTAGTTTTTCAGTTGCATCGTTCGGCAACATCGACCGTGTCGTAGGCCTGATTTCTCCGACATGTTCGAAGTTTTTTTTTCGCCATTTCGATTTTTCGAATCTGCTACAATTACCCCTGTAACTTTGCTTGACTGATACTTTAGACGGACATATTTTGGACGGAGACGGATCGTAACGGAAGAATGGGAAACACTTGACGTGCTCGATCGATTTCGAATTGAATCTTATTGAAGTATCGATGCACCAACTTCTGAATCGCTGGACGCGCTTAGGATTTTGCGTAGGTTGCATTGAATACGGTCGCCGGTACAGCGGAACGCGCGTTTGATCAAGCCCCGTTGCTGCTGCTGCTACTTTGAAAAGCTGAACGGTACTTTCGCGTTGAAAGGTTCCATTGACGTTTGTTCTTGTTTCTATTAAATCGTAGAGGCGATTGCACACGCTACGGGAAAGAAACAAGCGCGTTCCACCGTGCCGAGAAGTCAGACAGCCGGGCTTTGCTCGGCTTATTCATCTTAGTCCACGGCGACGTGTCGCTAAATCAAAATGTACACCAGCTTTCACCGTCCGTCTAACTTGCACAAGTTTTAAGATATAAATTTCTCCTTTTATTCATTTCGTTCGTTATCTTTCTCTGTACTTTCTCGGAAATTTATACTAAAAAGCAACGAGCAAAATCGAGTAAAATTCGTTCGGGCAAACGAGACTTCCTCTTTTCGTTCGTGAAAAATCAATTTCGTGATCTTTGCAGGTAGATACACGTTCAAATTTGAAACACGCATCTTCCGGGAAGTCTGTACTAAAAAGTAGCAAGGAAAATGTAAGTAAAGTTCAGGGAAATGAGAATCATGTAGTAGAAGTAGAAATTTTCCAAGAGCGACGAAATTTTTTGACGCTCGAAACAAAGTTTGAAGTCGTTGCCATCCGTATAAATCTCGCCAGAAGTAACAGGGATCATCGACTATATTTCACTCCTCTCTATCAGCCATCGTCAGTTTAATCTTTCGCATCCCTTTACGCTACGTGTCAACACTTCCGTTAAAACTAGACACCCGGTCCCTTCGTTAACTCGCAAAACTCGTTTCTAACAGGGCAGCGAATCTTTCACTGTCCGCTTGTCAAATAAGCTCCATATTCTTCCCGCATCGTCCACGACTTTTGACAGCTCGAAAAGTTCGAGTCCTGACCCCTTTTCTGATTTACAAAAAAAAAAAAAAAAGAGAGAAAAAGAATCCAGAAATCTTCTGGAGGGAAAACTGAAACCACGAAGCCAGCACAAGTCCGATCGGAGAAGAAATGGGGGCGAAAGTGATCTTGCCAGTCAGGTCACAGCGGCACAACGTCAGAATTGAATACGTACCACGTCGAAGATCGATGTGCCTAAAAAAGGTTAAAAAAAAAACACATACACGCACACGCACATAACACACGGACAACAATATATACCGAACTCTGGTGAAAAAGCACGAGGTCGTTCTCGTTGTTGTCGTCTCTCGCTGGTGGGAGATCCTGGGTGGTCAAGGTGGGGGGTATGTATGTTCCGAGGGTGAACGGTATGATAACGTCGAACAGGTCGACACGCGATGTATCGGTCAGCGAAGAGAGAAAAAAAGGGGGGCCGGAGGGGGAGGGGGAGAATTGAAGGTTGCCCCCGAAAGAATCGAAAGTCCCGTCGAGTCGGATAGAGAGGAAGAAAGAAAGAAAGAAAGAGAAAGAGAAAGAGAAAGAGAAAGAGAATGATGGAAAGAGAGAAAGAGAGAGTGCGATCGAGCGAAGAAGAAAAGAGTAGGAGAGGGTTGAAAAAAGGGGTTGGGGGTGAGTCGTGGTTACTTGCAAGGGCTAGTACATAGAAAAGAGATAGAGAAGGAGGGAGAGAGAAAGAGAGAAGCAAGACAGAGAGGGAGAGGTTAGGAAGAAGGGATAGCCCGGTATCGAGAGAGAGAGAGAGAGAGAGAGAGAGAGAGAAGGGGATAGTGGTAGAGAAGGTATAAGGTGGGGTAGAAGGAAAAGTCTGTACGGTTGGTAGGGGTTGACGAGGCGAGGGTGAGTGGGTTAACTGCAAAACCCGATCGTCCGTGTTTTTATCTTAAGACGACTCTCCGGCTAGAAGCCGCGTAGGAGACGGAGAGAAGAAGGGGATGATGGTGGTCGGTGGTGGTCTCTGGAGAAGGGGTTCTTCTCAAGCCTTGGAGTCCAGCTGGAGGGGTAGAAACGACAGCGGCGGCGGCGGCGGCGGCGGCGGCGGTGGCGGCGTGCGTCGCGGGGAATAGAGGTTTCTGGTGGTGGCAGCGCTGGACCG